TTTTATCACTTGCACTCACCCCGTAAAAGCAAGTGAGCTGGCATTAAAGGTGTCATTTGCTTCAGGATGGATGGACTATTATAAAATTTTCTCTTCAGATGCATTTTGGAATTTTCATAGAAGAAATAACCTAAATAGCATGCCCACTCAACTGTTTATCAGATGTATAATATATGTATCTAACCATATATAACCATTGTACAATCTATGTATACTGGCTAGAAAAAGTAAACAATGAATCCGTCTAGCTATTTGTGTAAAAATTCCTAGTAAGGGACATCTAAGTTAACATTAGTGGACTAAGCAGCTATGCTGTTACTTCTATAACCAAAACTATTTTGTGTAACCACTCAGATTTTCTTTTAATATAAGCTTTAACTACTAATTTGAATATTGCGGCTTTTTCAGGTTTTACAATGAACAGTACAAAGCAGAATGGATAATGTGGAAAATGCGAGGTTTGTTTCTTCAGAAGACAGCTTTTAGTAATTGTGTTGTTAGATTTTCTGAAGTTGTTAAGAAGTTGCCTAGTTTCTAGTTATACTTACCTTATATACATCAATTCACATTCACAAAATACAAAAGTGTCAGTTATTGAGTCCTTTCGTATTTACATCCGATCTTTAGCTCGGATCTCACTTAACCTTGGCTACTAATAAAAAAGAAAAGAGAAAAAAAAGGAACCTTAGCTTAATTTACTGCACCTAAAGGAAAGAAGATTTTTTAAAACCTTGTTATCAGTATGAGTTTTACTTTTCCGAGGTTCATTTCACTAAATCACCACAAAGCAGTGTAGGTATTCTTGCCAGTCAAGCTGATGCAACAATCTGTATAAAACCGTATTTATTCTTACACTGAAAGTCTAGATGAAATAAAACATTTCTTCAAGTTTGTCGAGCTCTTCTAGTTTACTAGAAATATCTTCTATTCCTTTCATCCCAAATTGTCTATGAGGGTGTATGGGCTTACTTTCGGTACTCTTTCCTCTCAGTTCTCAATTTCCTTAATCCCAAACTTGCCTAGTCTTTTCCCTCTCAAATTTGTTACTTTTCTTCTCCTTTTTTAAATTCTATTTTTTTATCTAAAGACTAGAAATCTACAACTAGAAACTGAGAAACTTTGATAGTGAAAAGTGAAGTTGACTGTGTTTCTCTTTCGTGTCCTCCCTTCCATTCAGCTTTTATGTGTTCTACAACTTCATATTTTGCTTCTTTTATGTTACCATAGGAGCTATCTGTTTGATTGTAGGGGTTTGTTACTACGTGCTCTAGACTTCGTAAAGTTCTTATAGTGGTTTGGTACTCCTATGGATTTGAAGAGAGGGTGTTGTGCAGGTCCTCTCTTTGCTCTCCTTGAATTCCTTTGCCTATGCTTGCTACCAAAGCAAGAACTCGACGAATAAATGTACAATGTGTTTTGCTATGTTCCTTTAATGATATATTATAAGAAAGCTTAAGCGGCACAACTTAGTTTGAGATTTCTGTTTATGCATCATATTTCTTAGCTCTCTTTAGGACTTCACCTTTACGATGGAGATTCCAAGTTGACTTCTGTAATGATCCTTGGAACAAGCACATATTTGAATTCTGTATCAGGACATTAGATTCATTGCCAGACAATTTTCAAGTCAATTCTCTGGTGGAGAGATTTTCTCTGTGCTGTCAACACATGTACCCTCCCTTCGTACTGCAAACTTGGCGTAAAATATACTCATGCATTATGGAAAAAAGTTCAGTTGAAACCAGTGAACTAATTAATGAGATAAAAAGAATATTTTGGTCAAGACAAGTTTAACTGATGTATCTGGAACACAAGTAATTTGGTTGAGACTAGTTTAATTTCAATTATATTGGGATATCTAGTTCTACAGTTACAGAATTCACCATGAATTAACCTCCAAACATCAATTTTTTTTAGGTAACACCTCCAAGAGAAGAAAAACAAGAGAGTCATGTGACAGAGAATGTGCAAAATAATAAATGCCAGGTTTGAGAACCAGAGCTATTATTTATTTTGATTTTTTATCTTTGGCTTCTCTGGAGGTTCTCATTTTATTCCTCACAGAAAAAGTGCAGGCCATTAGGGAGTGAGGCAGTCCCAGAAGGAGTTGTTTCTAAAACATCAAACCTGGAAATGCGACCATTGTGGGGTGATGTTGAGGTAACTAGTTATTTTGGTCGAAAATTATTCATGAGTTTTTTTACTTCACTGTTGACTATCTTTAATCTTTGATTCCTTGCATGGGAATAATTATGGATGCATGGATCATCCACGTATAGTCCATCCCCTTATATGTTTTTTTGATACTTTTCATCAGTTGATCTGTTGTTGTGTTTAGAAATCTTTAAGTCCTTTATTTTTTCTTCAAAATTTCACGGAAAGTTTTAGGTCTTGACTGTGATGTCAAAGGAGATTATGTAGGCCAGGTACAATTATCCTTAGGTGGTAAAGTGAACTGCCAGAAGGAATATTTTTGTCAATGTGATGTCACTCACATCACACAAATGTTAAATCATACACCAATAGGTGTGCTCTGTGTGTGTAAAGTATGCAGAAACTCTATGCTTATCCAGTGTATAAGGACTACTTGAGTTTCAGTCATCTCAAGAAATATGGCAGTGATTCAGAACCTTTAAATTGTCATGAACTTTTACTATATCAAATTTCTTTGTCCATGAGACAAATCATTTCACTAGTTCAACTCTTTATGATATTTTCCAATGTTTCTTTGGTTGCTTATGATGCAATACTTTTGTATTCAGAAGAAGTCACCACATTCAGTTAACTTATTGGGAATTGCAGTTGGAATAAAGCAAAAAGAGATGGTGAACAAAATTGTTAAATGGGTATGTTTTTTCATCTTCCGCTTCCTGTTTAGCTTGTAAATGTCATTTTAGTTTTCTGTTTTTTTAAATTGCTTTTGTAACTTGTTGCAGTTTCTTGAACATGACTTTGTTGTGATGCTTTTCCACTATGACGGTGTGGTGGATGAGTGGAATGATCTTGAGTGGAGTAATCGTGCCTTACATGTCTCTGCTATGAACCAAACAAAATGGTAAAGTCAGTTCTAATCAAATTTGTTACTGATTGCTAGTCGCCTGCATCTTTTTTTACTCATCTAACTCTCCAAAAATAGGTGGTTCGCGAAGAGGTTTCTGCACCCGGATATAGTTTCTGAATACGACTATATTTTCTTGTGGGATGAGGACCTTGGAGTCGAAAACTTTAATCCGGAAAAGTAAGTCTATCTTACAGCACGGTCTTTAGTATCATTGTGAACACATACCACTTGAAACGCTGATTTCAGAGTAGAGCAACTGTTGGATGCTTACGTGTACACCCGTTTAATTGCTGCACATGTTTTTATGCTAAAAAAGTTAACATCAACTGATGATTGAGCAGATTCAAGGAAAATCTTGGTGTGATGTAGCGTTACATGCAAAAAATAACCAGCAAGGATTAGGCTAGTTGGTAATAAGATAATGTTCTCACTGCATAAGTCTTTTTTCAGGTATATATCTATTGTTAGAGAAGAAGGCTTGGAGATATCACAGGACTTGATGCTAGTAAATTGGAAGTACATCATCATATTACTGTGCGCAGAGGGAGATCCAAGGTGCCAGGTTAGACTCATAATTTTTACGGTTCTGCAAGTTAATCTTATAAAAGATGAAGAATTACTGCGAAGCAGAAGCGTCCTTATGCTTATGAAACAAACTCAAGGACCAAAAGTATTTAATCGCCCTTTGAGTTTGAGATACGAATACTGAAATTTGAACTTCGTTTCCAGCTAGAAAATGAAAAAATTGTTGTAATTCCTTTATAGCTGGCAATAATGCGATTTCCTGCAACCGATAGGGTCATCTCTATGCTCTAGCATTTGGGAAAAAATAAAAATCCTGATATTATTTGTGTGTTTACTTTTGCATGTTCGCTGTTTTGTTCCAAAAGCTGACTGGTATTTTTTTTTTATTTGGTAGGAGGTTCTACAGATTAAATAAAGGTGGCCGAACGTGTGATAACAACAGTACAGAACTTCCTTGTGTGGGGTAAAGAACTGCAACCTTTTTTTCCATTTCAATGTAATATTATCTGATAACAAGTTTCTCCGAACTAAATCTATTTGCTCTGTGACCCTCTTTTTCTTTATGGCTCAAATGATTTAGTATTGTTAGTTCAAAACAACCTTGATTTTTCATTTTTATTAAATCGGTATGCAGGTGGGTAGAAATGATGGCTCCGGTATTCTCAAAAGCCGCCTGGCGTTGTGCTTGGTATATGGTCCAGGTATGGGAACTTTAATTAATTTTAAGCGCTAACAAGTAATCAACCAACTTGTGTGTGGCAGTAAATACAATTTCTCAAAATGTTTTGTTAGTTAACTCAATCGAAACCACAAGCAACTGTTTTGCTTTTTAGTAGTTGTCTCCTCCATGATACTTGATAGTATATGCAGTTACATAAATGTGCACTAATGATCTATTGTCCTTATGATCTTATACAAAGATGTCTATAGAATATCACCTTTCCTTTTCGAACGTCACAAAGACCTGCTAGTGATGATATAGTAGTAATGTTTAACTTGTAAATTTGCAACTCTTCTTTTTGCTCGTTTTTAACTAGTTGTTCTTTTGCTACAGAACGACCTGATCCATGCATGCTGCTTGGATATGAAGCTTGGTTATTGTGCGCAGGCAAATCTAAACAGCTTTCTTCCTACTTCCCATCTCTTCTTGGCATGATTATAGCATGTGTTATTAGTTCTCAGGGCGATCGTACCAAGAAAGTTGGCGTGGTTGATGCAGAGTACATAACTCATTTGGCTGTCCCTTCTCTGGGTGGTAATTTAGATGTAGAAACGGCAAGTAGTTCTTCCCTTGATTAATCATTGATCATCGATCCTCTGTTTGCAATTTTGATCTACTTTTAATACTTGGGAGCAAATGGATTAAGTGTTTGGCTTGTCTTGTGTAGGTGATTAAAGAATTAGATAATTCGCTGCAAGGGAAGAACTTGTCTGATTCTGATACATTGGTATGATCTTCAAATCGTTCATACTTAAATTACATAAATTCTTCGTTTTGTATTTCATCTAAAGTGAATCTCCTTTTGGAATTGCAGACTGCTCCAGTTGAGAAATTTGACAATCGGTCTCTGGTAAGTTCACTATTTATTGTATCTGGTTTACTATGAAAAGTTACCTGTTGTTATACACTGTCAGTGTGCAAAACTTGAACTCTATATTGAATGACATTCTGCAGGTTAGGAGACAATCGTATATCGAAATGATGATTTTTCAAGAGAGGTGGCATAAAGCCATCAAGCAAGATCAATGTTGGGTTGAACCATTTCAAAGTCAAGAAAAAGGAAAAACAGGCTCATAATGAAATTAAACATAAGTTATATACATTCAGTTGTTTGTATATACATTGTATACAAAGAGCAGCTAAGAGTAAATAGCCATACAAGACTGATAGAAATATGCATCAAGAACCACAGTTACTCAGAAGAGAGAGGGGTGGTCTGTGGATGTGGAAAATTCAGTCATCTTTTTTTTTTTTCCCCTTTGGGAATCATTTTTATAGATAAATTTTGTGGTATTTGTAAATACCATTTTTTTCCTTCTTTTCCTTTGTTTTTTTTTTTTGGACTAAGAATAATGCCAAGGGTGCTCTATAGGTATATGTTTATTTATGGCATTCAATTTGGTGATTTGTTTCAGGTCAACAATAAGATTATTGCTCATAATTACTGCCTGTTGGCTCACTTGCACGGATCCCTAATTTTATCTACAACACCATTCTCTCCGGTGCCGGCGTTCCACCTCTACCTCCGGTCTTCTCCGATCAAGTAACTCTTACTTTGCCTTCTTTTGATACGTATTTGAGATTTATCTGAGTTCAGTATATGAAATTTCAGTCTCTAGAACTTGATCACTGTCATAAGCACCAGTCTTCATTCATGGAATCTGAAATTTGTAGGCCTTTTGGCTAAGTTCTTCTGTGACATTGTCGTTGGAATTACAGTTGAATTTACTGTTAATAAATTGTTGAGGTCATTTTTTTCGTTGTCAAGGCAATTTTATCTTTCATTTGGCTTTGAGATGTTGCAGAAAGGAAGTAACGTCTCAGAAGAAGCAATAAATGTCAAAATGTTTGCATCTATGAAGGGTAATTGTACACAGATTAGTTACTGATTGACTGTAGATTAGACCTGACAATACTTACCTTTAGAAAGCATGTGGATTAATATTGCTACTGTTGGACAATTGTAATCTACTTCTACTAAAGTTAAAGGTCTTCGGGCAATACTTACCTTTAGAAAGCATGTGGATTAGTGATTATTTGGCTATCGACCTACTCGACAATACCCAAAGCGTTAGCTCATCTATCTATAATGATGCTAATTGCCAATGAGGTAGTTCATGATCTTCCTTGGTCAAATAAATTGTGACCAATTATATAAGTTTTATTCAAGGAATTAAAAGTAGTGAAAAACATTTCAATCAATGGACATGTTAAGTGAAAACTATGGCTATTTGTCATGATTAATGGGATACAACTTTCACTGTGTTCGTTTAGATATTTGAGAAGGTTCAATAGATTGAACTAGTCAATTTGTGTGTCTTTGCTTTAATAATTTGTTGCATTGTTGATTAATGCAAAGTAAGCCATGGTTGGATGCAGAAATTAATATTTAGTTAAAAATGAGCTGCAAAAATGAAGATAAGTAAAGTAAAAGATAGAAAATATGAAGTGCATTTACAGAATCTTTTGGATGTGGAATATATGGTGCAACGGGTTTGTTAAATCAGCAGAAAAGGGAATGGTTGAAAATAAGGAAGGAAATTTGAAATGCTTTTACCGAATGGTTATGCATTGTTATAGAAGTTTATGTTACCTGATCGCAATGCTATTTGGATTTTGGTGAAAGGAGATGTAATTAACTTGAAAAAGGATATTTTTACCTTTTGTTGTTGTACGTGTAACTATCCCCCACCATAATTCACTTAATGCCTGGGAATTTTCACCATTATCCGTTATTTCTCAAGAACCCAGTACCTGACTTTTATTTGTAACAACAGTTGGCTTTGTTGCTTTCATCTCTTTTTTTTCAAAATGCAAACTTGTTTCCCGATGCTTCTCTCTTTTCTATTGTTTCTTTTTCTTTATGTTTCTCTTACTTCATGGAGAAGGGGAAATATTTATTTGAAAATTTTTCCTACTTCTATAGGTTTTGAACTCAAGGGAAGAAGATGCATTAACCGTTGACTCTACATAAACACCCTTTATGTGCTGATGTAAGTTTCTCACATTGTTAAATTAGATTAGATTCATCTTGTGCTTTTGAAGCACTGCATTTGCATGTGTTTATTTGCATTGACATGCTATGTTCCTCGGACTCTTCAAAATGTCAACGGGTGTGTATCGGATTCGCCAAAAGTATTGTATTTTTGGAGAATCCGACACGGGTGTGACATCAAAAGTGAAGAGTCGGTGTAACTTAGTTGACATGTAGTCTCGTCGTGTGTATATCATAGTTGTAGATTAATTTGTTCTTTTTATTGGTTAATTTTACGAAATAATTGCCGAAACGTCTCAAATACACTAAAGATGGCTATGTTGCCGTGGTGCAGATAATTGAAGAGTTTCAGAAGTGTCATACAGACCACCCATCAGGGAAATTCCTTGGGCAATGCACAAAACTGAAAGTAAAGCTTGACCGGTGCTTTAGGCAGGAAGTAAGGTTTCTTGCTTTACCTATTCGGAAATTATATGTCTTTGAAAATATATCTTCAGCGTTCCTCATGTATGTACCATTAAAAAAAATATGATGTCCTTTTGCAGAAAGCTATAAAGAGGAAAACAAATTTTGAACAGAGCAAGAAGTTGAAAGAGAGGCTCCAGGCTTACAGGAAAGAAACTGCTGACATGCAATCTTGAATCTGATAATAGTTATGTTGACAAGACACTGTTGTGCAATATTTCAACACACGAAGGAAAGCTTAACGACTGGGATTTATCAGAGAAAGACTGGTGAATAGAATTGTCGGTCGTCTATTCTGATGTTTTCGTCGATCTCCATTAAAGTTAGTTAAAGTGAAATAAGATGTATAGACACAAGAATTGATAAATTACAGGAGCAACTTATCAAACCATTCAATTTTGGTGCCTGGAAAATGTCAAACATCAAAATACTGAAATAATTGTGTGAACTGATAGAATGTTCCTGATGGGAGGTAGCTAGCCTCTTAGTATTAGTCGAGGTGCGTGCAAGGTGATCCAACACAAACATAGACCTTTTTTGATATTTTTAGACAAAGCAAATGTGAATTGTTCTAATATAATATGTAAGCCAAGTATTTTTATTTTTTTTTGGGAACTTGGAGCCTGCAGTGCATACTAAACTCTAAGCTTGTGTTGATGACCAGTTGGATGAATATTTGCCATGAATTTGCTGCACAAAAATAGAGTTTCTGCAGGATGGCCAATGTGATCTTTAAATGGACTCTTGTTGTTATTTAAATCGAACACTATTTCTATTCATTTCAAAATAAAAAAATGCGAGTAGTAACTCTTCCTGTTGCAACACAAATGGAGGTTTGAGAGTTCCAAATTTGTTTCTATTTTAGAAGTTCACCACTGGTAATTAACACCAGTTCTAGCATCCAATGGTATGACCTAGTCGTCAACGAAGTGGTTGAGAATAAAGAGGTCGCATGTTCAATTTAGTTGAGACAAAAAATACTAGGTGATTCTTTCCATTTGTTCTAATCTTGGTGGACAGAGTTACATGATACTTGTTGCTGGTGGGCACTAGATATTGTTAGTGGTGAGAGATGAAAGGTATCAAGTGAAATTAAGCCTTGATATAAAAGCAAATATGAGATGCCAAAATTGGGACATATACTAGTGTTGTAGGTCTCTATGGTGGTATCACATGTCTACATAGAAACTTTCATGGCTTAAAGCAGAATCTTCCTATTCAAATTTTAAAGTTCAATATGTCAAAGCTTAACACATCATTATTCACACATAGGATAAGATATATAATATCAATATACAGGAAATTCTAGACCCATATATAATATCAAGAATGCAATGAATTTAGTCTTGGAAGGTAGAAAAAATAGATTGGGATCCAGTCCAGTAAATTTACCTCCTGTATATATCAATAGGGCATTCAGATTTTAACACGTGTCCTACAATAATTTTAATAGTTAGGATCTATAGTTTTAATGGTTAGTCTCCATTCTCTCCTTAACCTTTGTGCGTGCGTGTAGTTATATATATATATAATTTTTTTACTTTTGAGATGATTGTAATGATCTAACAATTTGTTTATACCTCGCAAAAAATAATGTAATTGAATTCCTTAAAATAGTTTAAAGGAACGTGAGTTTAATAAATTTTCTGAATGAAATAAATTACAATAATAACAAGATGTAATATAATAGCAAGAATATAATCAAATCGTGTATTAGATCTTGAGGATCGAATTTTGATGGCTTAAGTACAATGTGTTTGATAAGATTTGAATTAGCATAAAACAATTTGTAAATCAAAGATTTTTCTCCTATAACATAGGCAAGGGTCAAATGATATGATCATATTGACCAACATTTTTAGAAATATTTTTTTATCATATTGATATGAGAGAAAATATAATTTTTAGTACTTTGCTAATAGTTTTTAAATATCTAAATTTTAACTTTAAAATATCGAATTAATTAAATTGACCCTCAAAAATAAACATGACTACTTTTTAAAAGAGAGCAATAATTATTAGACCTCTAAAATAAATAAATAAATAAATAGCAAGAGAGAAAAACGAGAAAAGAAAATACTAAACTCATTGAAATTATACTAGTTACACATGTCAAAAATCTGAAAGCCCCATTGATATGTAAATTCACTGAACTGAATCTCAATCCCAAAAAAAATTAACTCATTAAACAATGCCCACGCCTCAGTTTCCCTCCCATGCCTCAACAACAACACATTACAAGTTGCAGGAGCCATCCTATACTTATTATCAGCAAGTGATCGATATGATTCCATACCCTCTTTTACCTTCCCCTGCTTGAATTACAATTTTTACATTTTAATATGATAAAAAGAAATATTCCTTCGATCCTCATTTATGTGACATTTTTCGTTTTTCGAGAGTCTGACAGTTTAAGTCTGATCGAGAATTTGCTCATGGAATCATCAATCTTTTTAAAATGAAGTTTATATATTTGTAAACTACGTAAAATGTATTATAAGTCACAATAATTGATAATTCAAAATGTTTAAAAATCTATGAAATAATTACAGTCAAAGATAGACTTGTTTGAATCTCAAAATCTGAAAAGTGCCACATAAAATGAGA